ATGGCCAGCTTTTCACCCACCAGCACCCCCAAGTCCCTCTGGGCAGGGCTGCTCTCCATCCTTTCTTCCCCCAGCCTGTATTGATGCCAGGGGTTGCCCCGACCCAGGGGCAGGACCTTGGCCTTGTTGAACCTCATGAGGTTCCATGACCCCACCTCTCCAGCTTGTCCAGGTATGAGACAGGATCAAGTCTGAACAAGCCAAGTAGGTTTGGTTTTTTTTTTCCTTTATTTAAAGCCTAGAGGCAGAGAGAAACCCTTTGCACAGAGGCCATATCAGCCATTTCCATCTGGAGACCTCCTGAGAGGATCCTCACGGAAAGGCTTTGCTGGCAGACAAGGTACAGAGCAATCCCCTAGGGATGCTCTGGAAGAAAAACCCACGGGAGCAACAATCTCTCGCAGCATCCCGTGCAAGACGAACTCCGGCTTCCTCTCTAAAAGCTATTTGCAGAGTAATTACAAGAGATCCTATTTCTCCTGCTCAGGAGACAGAGCTGCAAAGGCAGCGGGAAGCCCGTGCAGCAAACCCCCATCACCAGGGTGGAAAGCACCCAGCAAAGCCACGCTGCCAGAACCAACCACTCCTGTGCAAGGCTCCCACAAGGTCAGGCAGGCTCTTGAGGGGCACAAAGCCACCGGTTTATTTGCTATTTAGGCACAGGACAGGGTGACCCCAGGGCCAGCAGCACTGCTGGCTTTGCTGCCAGGCCAGATCATACCTGCCCCGGCACAACCCTGCCTGCACAAATATTCCGGGCCTGGCAAACCCACACAAGGGATGGGTAATTTCCCCTGGCATCCATCTCCTCCGGTCTGCCTAAGCCTGAAGCTCTCACGGCTGGGGAGAGCCAATAAACCACGTGCCGGAGAGCATGCACAGAGCAGCCTTCCCTCCGGAGAAGGATCCTCCCATGGGAAAACACACAGCTAAGTGGTGTCAAGCCAGGTCCAGGGCATGAGCCAGCCTCCTCTCCCAGCAAGCCAGGTGTGTTTGCATGTTGCCTCTCCTGACTAAGCAGTACAGGACTGCTGGAATCTCGTCTTTCCAGCTGCTGGGAAGCCTCCGGCTCTGCAGCTCCAAGCTGGGGAAGAGCATTTCCATGCAGGATTTCCCCTGCACTCAAGAATGAGATACTGCCCTCCACTTAGATGCTTCACTCTTTTTTTGCAAAGCCTTTATTGAAAACACTACTGTAAACCCCCTCCTGCTTCTCAGCTTTAGCATTTCTGTACAGACCAGGTATGGGTCTGCCTTACTGGGCAGCAAACACGACCTGGGGGGGGTGGGGTGGGGGTGGTGTTAACCACGCTCAGATTGCATCCTACATCTCTGCACATGGAACCACTCCGCTTGCCCTGGCCTCTCTCCCTCTTCCCTCCAAAACCTGGCAGAAGGAGGGGGAGGAATTGCTTTTAAGCTGCTGTTCAGTTGGAGGATGGCTCGAAACAGCCCTGCCACAGAGCCACGCAAGCTGCACTTGCCACCTTCCCAGTAACCAACCAGTAGGTTGTGGGCAGACTCGCTGGGTTAATCAATGATGTGCAGCCCAAGGAAGCAAAGCGCTGCCTACACAGGCTGCAGCCCCACTACCGCTTCAGTCCATTGGGAAGAGATACAAATCCAATATATGTATTTCCAGCAAACCACATCAGGTCCAAAAGCTACTAAAAAGCCTTTTGCAGTTGGCAAAACTAAGGCATAGGTAAGGAAATCATAATTTTCTATTAATATTAGAGACGAAAAGGCTCTTAATAAAAAGGAAGCAACCATAAGGGTAGGAAGGAAGGGAGAAGTCTGTGGCTTGCCTTCACAGCTGCAGCAAAGCACATGTGAAAGTCAAAGCACCCATCTTGGGAGCCCAGTTACACACATTGGCTGGTCCATGGGCCACAAAACAAGCACCTGCAGAGAGCAGGAGAAGGTGGCTTGCTGCAGAGGAGGCAGTAGCCCATCCTGGGTGCTGCCAAGCCCCCCAGCACATCACACCTCTGCAGCCCACGTCTTGACACTCCCATAGCCCCCTAAATTGCTACCAAGGTCCCAAAATATTTGCCAGGGAGCACTGAGAGCATGAGGACACAGCTCAACCAAAAAAAAAAACCCAAAGTATTTCAAGGAACCCCGTGGACATCAGCTGAACCTGACAGGCTCCTGAAGCTGTCACATGCATGCAAAGCCTCCAGCTCTGGTGCAGTGTTTACTTAATGCTGGGGTTAATGCAAAACAGGTGTTTCCAGGTCAGAATTTCCCCATAAATGGTCATAAGACCAGCTTTTTATTCTGACATGGGCCAAAAACATATTGTTTGAGAGCTTTGGAATTTCCCACCCAAGCTGCTGCCTTCCTGTTGATGTTACTTTAAGATTAACCAGCGCCATTTATAATCCACTTCAGCATTTCTCCTGA